GCTCTGATTTTGGTTGTGTTGGAGAACTGTTGGGAACTGTGGGTCTCAACAGTCAGTACAGTGTCCTCGATATATACGCTAAGGAATGCTAAACGTAACGCTATGTTAGCACTAAATTAATGCCAAAACTGCTCAAATATTTCTATGTTTTACCATCAGAAAACACAATGGATTACTCGCCAACTTATTTGTTTAATTTTGTGATGAATTTTTAATATTAAAATTATATTTAAACTAATATTTTAGCGGAAATTCTACGCGAAGACGAATGTGAGCGAAGAGTTTGTAAGTATTGTATTTGAATTTCACTGCAAATATCAATCGCCAGAGTATTAGTATTAGTATTAGTTTCAATGATTAGTTTATGTAATAATAATGGCGATCGTGTTTCACAACTTTCTTTAGCTTCCTATCGATGTCTTCTCACAAATATTGATTGTTTTGCAAACTTTTTTCATTCGCTTGTGATTTGAATTTAAGGCCAAACGTAAGCCGAACTACAATTCTGGAGCTGAAAATTATTATGTGCTAAATGTCGACAACAATGTCACCACTGATGGCCTCACCATTAATTACCCACATTCATTCGCTTGTGATTTGAATTTAAGGCCAAACGTAAGCCGAACTACAATTCTGGAGCTGAAAATTATTATGTGCTAAATGTCGACAACAATGTCACCACTGATGGCCTCACCATTAATTACCCACATTATACTGACCGTCGGCTTATATTCAGTGATCTCTGTTTCATCTGAATTGACATCGGATTCCAAATCATACACAGAGACAGAACTGGACTCTGAATTGTTATGCAAAGGCGAGTGGAAGTTCCCAAACAAATGCAATACATATAACTGTGATTACAAAGCGAGCTGGGAGTACATCGATGACAACGATGAGATCATGTTCACCATCAGCACCAAGAATAGGAACAAATGGACGGGAATTGGTTTCTCCGAGAATCAGGCGATGCCGGAGACGGACGCCATTCTAGGCTTAGTTGAAGAGAGGTTTGAGACTTAATGATTATGCGCTCACTTTTACATATTCCTACTTTAATGATAGTTTAACGTTAAATTATTTCTAATTAAACTGATTCAATGAGACAAAACATATAATTTAATACAACAACAACCGCTGGCTTTTAGTTTTGTCATAAAATTAAGCAAAATTTTTAATTATATGTCTCGCCGTGTGTTTGACATAATATTTTTTCAATTACCGCTAAATTAAAGTGAAATTTGTCTCAACTATAATTGAATGAATACAAAGGGAGTCAACACTTGTCTTAATGGATGTAAATATCTTGAGTTACTCTAAACTTTAAATTACTTTTGATTAAAGAAAAATTAAGTTTACTTTCACAATCAAAAACCCTTAAAGAAAACCCATTGTATTCAAAAAATCAAACCTCAAGTTTTGCTAATCAATAATTGTGTCGAAAATTAAGCAAATAAATAATTGGGTGAAAAGAAAATTTTAAAAAACAGTTTTGCAAACACTAATTGACAATAGATTTCCTTTCAATACAATGAAAATAATTGTTCCCAAAAAACTAAAACTTCTTAAATGGACCTAATTTTCAGAAAGTCTTTAAATTAGTGATGAGTTGTTATTTAGTAATTACAGTTAATTTAACTTTATTTAATAATTATCGATTTTCAATCAAACTAATGGTTTCTCGAGAGAGAGAGAGAGAGAGAGAGAGAGAGAGAGAGAGAGATTACAAACGTTTTTATAAAAATCAGATCGACTTTGAATATCGTTTTGCAGTCATTAATGTGTTAATCATATCTCTTGTCCTCAATTTGTTATTTATTTTAAAATTCATGAACTCTTAAATCAAATATTTTGTGTCTGAACTAAATTTCATCCATATTTCTGCCATAATTTATATCTTTATATATAAAAAATATTTACAAAAAAATTAATTAAGTAATAAAATAAACGTGAGATTTATGATTGATTTTTTTGTGCAATTAATAACTATTAGCTATCGATATCTATATTTAATTTCTTACATTTTTATTTGTTTTATTTTCAATGAAAACTAAATATAAGACAAATAATGAGCACAAATTGTGAAGACGTTTGTAATTTACGACATAATCTTTTTTAATCGATAATTAGCGGACGATTTTTTCTGATGGACAGTTGGCTTCGGGCCTATGAGGCGCCGCCGTTAGATCAGTCCCAGAATCTGTATAACATGTCCGCCTGGCGTGAGAACGGTATCACAACTCTCAGGTTCTTTAGGAAGAGGATTACCGGCGACAACAAAGACTTCCAGTTCACAGACAC